TAGCTTTCTGGATAGTCACACTTGTAAGAGTCAGGCCAACCCTCTACCACCTCACTTGCTACTTGGCCTATACTTTGGGTAAATTCTCTCAGCTCACATGTACACCGGAACGGATTGTTCCCTGCTCTTATGGACCTAATCTTCTGGCAGCTCTGGAAGAAATGAGCTGATGGGTTGGAAATTGCATTATAGTCAATGGTCAGTACAGAAAGGCTGCTAAAGCTCCCACATCCGGGAAGGTGGGCTAAAGAATTGGAAGCAACATTGAGTTCTTGCAAAGCATCCAGACTAGTGACATCTGTAGGGATGCTCCTTATCCTGTTATTGTGAAGATCAAGCACCTTGATCCTGGGGGGTAAGCATCTGAAAACAGAGTCTGTAAGTATATTTGAAGACAAATTTAACTCCACTATACTCCCAACCCAAGTGCAATTTCTGTTATGTCTATCATATTCCAAAGAATTCCAGCTCACATCCAGTGTTTCCAAAGATGTCATATCCTTAGTCATGAGACCTACTTTGTAAAGGTCTTTTAATTCATTCTTTCGTAAGATAAGTGTCTCCAATCTAACTAAAGTAGAGCATTTTTGAAAAATACTGTCTGTGAGAACATTCTGGGTGAAGTTCAAAAATTTTAAAGTGCTTGTTGCTTGAGGGCAAAGCATGTGTATAAAAGGTGCATCTGATAAGGTTAACATCATAATGTTCATCTCAGAAAACACTCTGTATAACGCTGTCTGTGAGAAAAGAAAAACTTTGTTTGTAATACGTTCTATTTTTAATGCTTTCAGTGCCGTTTCAGAATAAGTAAAATCTTCTTCACCAATGCTTTGAACTATTGTTAAATTGTAAATATTGAGATATTCTACAGGTCTGGGCCAAAGGAATTGGAAAACTCTAACCAAACATTTCCAAGTTGTTTCTACATGGTTAAGGGTAAAATTCAATAACGTTGGACCTCTAGTGAGTTCTGATAAAAATTTAATTAAAACTTGACAGTTGGAATTACTCAGTTTAATATTAGTTAGTTGTAAGCACTCTAAAGTATTAACTGATATATTCACTTGGACAGAGAATAAATAATTTGGGTGAAAAACGAGGTGAAGTGTTTTTGTATTCAGAATTTGAAGACTTTCTTCTCCATTTTCTTTCACATAATAACCTTCCAAATCCAGAAGGATGTAATTTAGATGCAAGTGAGCAATTGGTAGCAGATCTAATTGTTGTAGCTTTGTAGCACTTAATCCCAAGAAATTGAGTTGCGTCAAGTAGCCAAATTCCTTACAGAGCGGCAGGGCATCAAAATCATTGAAGGAGAGGTCTAAATGCTTGAGATTGGTGATAGGATGGCAAGATACCTTCTGCAACTGATTATGAGATAAATCCAAATATTCCAAATCCGGGTTGAACTTGAAAATACTAATATCAAGGTGCTGGATTCTGTTATGGGAAAGTCTCAGTACTTTCAGCTCTGAGAGAAAGCTTATATCAGAGAGGTGAAGCTCAGATATGTAGTTCTGAGACATATCTAAGACTTTGGTTTTTGGTGGCAGGCCCTTTGGGATTTGAGTAAGGCCGCTATTTGACATGTCTACTGCAAATTCACTTTCATCGGAAAACTGGATTATGGTTCCAATGATAAAGGTCACGATGTAAACAAAGTGAAATCTTTTGACAGTAGAGTCTTTGTCCTTGGTCATGATGTTGAAGTAGCTATCCCCCAAAGAGTTGTTGCTGTTCTTCAGAGCATCTAGATGTGCATCTAAATTCTAGAAATATAATATACATTAACATGTGCAAAGATTAGATCATTGCTATCAAATCTCCACTTACTAAGCACAAAATCTCAATGCTTCCTTTATTTACCGTCAGTCATAATGCCGCCTAACTCCCACTGTGGAGTCCTGAGAGCAGCAATGGCAGCCGCTGTGATGGCCACAGGGTAGCAGCCTGTGCTGACACCAGAATGACCACAATCACACCTGCCTGGAACCACCTAAGGTAGAAGTTAGAAGTACTCTTACAGGCCTGCTAGGAGCAGGTGTGATGACATATATACTCCACTGTTTCTGGTCACGGGGAATTTTTTAGTCACAGGATCCCATTTTTGACACAATTCCCGTAAAAATGGATATGTGTTTTTCTAATTCACATTAGACTAGAAGCAACAAATTCAGAGAGAGAGAGAAAGAGGATTTAGCACTTGATAATCTGTAAACATAGAACTACAGTTGACACACTGATAAAACAGGAAAAGATAGATAAATATTAAAAAGTACACTGAAGAATTCAGAAGGCATGTCAGGCGAAAGCTGCTGTATGTAAGAGATAACAGTTTCCCCAGAGCCCAGAAAGTCTCACCAAACTACAACATCGCATAGACACTGATGTTTGTGACAATCAATGAATGAGAAAAAATTACCTGGCTGAGAAGGTAGAGGCAAGTGCATGAGCCCACAGACCCCATATTTACCACGGGGACAAAGGGTCAGAACTTAAAGGCTCACTGGACCCCATTCAAGATCTGATCTGCACCAAAAAAACATCTAGGAGCCCCCAGGGAACAAGAGCAGGCAACAACATTTCTTAAATAGGGCCTTGTGTAGCAGGACTAATTGAGAGCAGATTTTGACTAGCTGTTGAGTTTTATTAACAAAAGGATCCACTGTTCATCACCTGAGGGAAATACTAAAATAGTTAAGAGATAAGTAGGGTTTCAATTAACTGTTCTTTGGAAGAGTAAACACTCTTTTGGACTGGGGAAGTATCATTACAAAATGCATATGGTTTATTAAAAGGCCTTCAATTTTTAAAAAATGACATAGAGTTAAAAGTCCCTTTTAACTGCTCCTCCCATACAGCCTTGGCCAACTGTCCTCCAAAACATCCATGAAAACACAGAATCTCTTGAAAACCCACCTTGCTACTGAAAGCAAAGAAAGATGGAAAATTAATGGCAGGATAATAAAGCATCTATGCTCATGAAAAAGTAGCTGAGCTATATTAAGGAAAACCAGCATACTTAAGCTTTGTCTCAGGAAAATAGACTCCCTGATGAAAGGTATGAAGAAAGTTTGTCTCTCTCTGTGTTTGTCTCTGATTCAAACACAAAGGATGAGCAACAACCAGGTAATTAAGTAGCATTTGTTTTCCCCCAATTGTACTGATGTGAGTGGGTCACAACACTGAGTTTTCCATCTACATACAGCCACTCTCCAACTCTCTATCACACAATGATTAACCCAGTAAAAACTGGGCAAGAAGTACTCTCACCACCTCTATTCAACATCGTATACTGCAAGTCCTAGCCAGAGCAATTAGGCAAGATCCAACTTGGAAAGGAAGCATCCAACTTGGAAAGGAAGATGTAAAATGATCTCTGTTTGCAGATGATATGACATTATATAAAGAGAATCCTAAAAACTCTACCAAAATCCTCCTAGAACTAATAAACAAATTCAGTCAAGTTTCAGGATACAAAACCAACCTACAAAATCTGTTGTGTTTCTATACACTAACAACAAACTATCTGAAAAAGAAATAAAGAAAACTATCCCATTTACAATTGTATCAAAAAGAATAAAATACCTAGGAATAAGTTTAACCAAGGAGGTGAAAGACCTATACATGGAAAAGAGGAAAACATTGATCAAATAAATTGAAGAAGACATAAATTAAATGGAAAGATATCCTGTGTTCATAAATCAGAAGAATCAATACTGTTAAAATTTACATACTACCATTCTATCCAAAGTTATCTATAGATTCAATGAAATCATTATCAAAATTCCAATGGCATTTTTCATAGAAATAGAAAAAACAAAGTTATGGCAATCAAAATAGTATGGTATTCACATAAAAACTGACACAAAGACCAATGAAACAGAGTTGAGAGCCTAGAAATAACCCATGCATAAATTGTCAATTAATATTTGACAAGGGAGTCAAAGATACTCAATGGGGAAAGGATAGTCTCTTCAATGAATGGTGTTTAGAAAATGGTATGTACATGTAAAGGAATGAACTTGGACCCTAACTTACTTACTCCACTCGCATACATTTACTCAAAATGGATTAAAGAATTAACTATAAGACCTGAAACCCTAAAACTCTAAAAAGGAAACACAAAGAAAAATCTCCCTGACATTGGTCTTGGCAATGATTTTTTTGGATCTGACACCAAAAACATAAGTAACAAAAACAAAAATAAACAAGTGGGGCTATATCAAACTAAAAGGCAGCAAAAGAAACAATAAACAAAATGGAAAGTCAACCTACCGAATGGAAGAAAATGTTTATAAATCATGTTATCTGATAAGGAACTCATAATAGATAAGGAACTCATACAACTCAACAGCAAAAAAATAAAAACAAAACCAAAAAATTCGATTTAAAAATGAGCAGAAGACCTAACTGGCCAATTTTCCAAAGAAAACATACAAATCTTCAATAGGTACATGAAAAGATGATCAATATCACTAATCATCAGAGAAATACAAATCAAAACTACAGTGAGATATCACCTTATACCTGTGAGAATGGCTGTTGTCACAAAGACAAGAGATAAGTGTTGGCAAGGATGTGAAGAGAAGGGAACCCTTGAGCACTGTTGGTGGGAATGTAAATTGGCGCAGCCACTATGAAAAACACTAAGGAGGTTACTCAAATAATTAAAAACATAACTACCATATGATCTAGCAACACCACTTCTGGGTATATTTCTGAAGGAAATAAAATCACTATTTCAAAGATAGTGCATCCCCATGTTCATTGCCACATTATTCGCAATAACCAAGACATGGAAATTAAGTGTCCACAGACGGATGAATGGGTAAAGAAAATGTGAAATATATATAAATGGAAGATTATTCAGCCATAAAAAAGAAGGAAATTCTGCCATTTGTGACAAATGGATGGACCTTGAGGGCATTATGTTAAGTGAAATTAAGTCAGAGAAAGACAAACACTCTATGATGTCTTATATGTGGAATCTAAAAAAGCCAAACTCATAGAAACAGAAAGTAGAAAGGTGGTTGCCAGGGGCTGGAGACAGGGGACATGGGGAAATGTTGATCAAAGGGCACAAACTTCCAGATATAAGACAAATAAGTTCTGGGGATCTAAAGTGCAGCCTGGTGACTATAGTTAACAGTACTGTATTATATAGTTGAAAGTTGCTATGAGAGTAGATCTTAAATATTCTCACCACACACGAAAAAAGTAATTATGTGAGGTGATAGGTGTGTTAACTAACCTTATTGTGGTAATCATTTTGCAATATATATGTTATCAACTTATTACACTGTAGAACTTAAACTTACACAATGTTATACGTCAATTATATTTTAATAAAGCTGGAAAATGAAAAAGAACTGGGTAAGAGGTGGGAGGGGGTGGACTTGAAGGGGTACATTGTATTCTGAGATGTGCAAGCCATACAATGATACTTACAAAAGGGTGCGTATATAAGAACATTAGTAGCTGTATTGATCAGGAATTGCAGTTTGTATATATAAAACTCCCTTAGGTCAAAGTATCACAGAGTTGGGCAATAAGGAGAAGTTACTACTTCATACTACTTAAAACAAATAGCTTACAATGAAAATATAACAGATAAGAACACTTATGCAATGGATAACATTGCATCAAAATTTACAATGTAAAAATGCTAAAAACAAAAGAAGACATTGATAGTGAAAGTATTTAGTGTATTTCTTTGGGTTATAGTTAGATCAAGTAGCAAAAAAATAAACATATGTGGAGGATTTGAATAAAGTAATCAATAAAGGTTTAATAGAGACTTATAAACTTTGCCCCTACTAAAAGAGAACATTGTATGTCTAAACCCCAGTGTTCATGAGCATTTACTCAACTTGTTTCTTACAATTTATTAAAAGTACAATTTTTAATAAATACCCCAAAGCAGATATTGTTAAAATCACATTTCTCACTATAAAATAAACTTTTAAAAATGTTCTAAATATTTTCTGGATCAAGAAAATTGCATTTTCAATTAGAAGCATTACAAATTATGAGAGTCAACAGGGTGGTGTACACGTTCCAGCCTCCTCCTCTTCCCCTAATTCCTCAAAATGAAGAAAACACACACACACACACACACACACACACACACACACGTAAAAGCAAGAAGGGAAGTCATTAGGAAACTGAAACCAAGAGAAGATTCTGATTTTTCCAAGCACATTGGACTATGATAGAATACTAGCTTCACAAAGATGTCCACGTACTAATTCCAAAATTTGTGAATATGCTGTTACATGGAAAAAGGAAATTAACGTCGCTGCTGGAATTAATGTTGCTAATCAGCTGACCTTAAGATAGGAAGAGTATCCTGGATTATTTGGATGGGCCCAATGTAATCATGTTATTTATAATGGGTCCTTTAAAGTGAAAGAGGGGAGCAGAAATAAGGTCTCTCATTTACAATACTGGCAGAAATGAAAAATTAGCATGACCTTTCTGAATTTTGGTCACATTACATAAATTCCTCAAAAATATGCTTGCCCTTATTTTAGCAATTCCAGTTCTCACAATTTGTTTTTAAAGGAATTACTAGAGATACACATAAAAATATTACTATGAGGATGCTCATGACATGATGAAAAACTGAAAACAAAAAGATAATGTCTAGTGTAGAAAATGANTTTTTTTTAACAGTATCAGTTCAACACTGTATAGCTAACTTTTGGGGTATTCTGAAAGAATGGCTTCATGTTCTGGCTGAATGCCGAGCAGCCGCAGAGAAAAGAAGTTTTGTTACAGTATTTTTTCTACAATTGAGGTGAGCTGACCTAGGGCAGTTTGGTCCTCAGAGTGGGTGAGAGCTGTAGGTTTCCTCCCATGCAGCCTCCTGACCAAGAGTGATGTTACCATGAAGGAGTTGTGCCGTATACTCATGTGGTATCTTAGCAGCTGGGCTTAGTTATATAGATTATTCCTTTAAGCTTGATGAAGTCCTAGCTCTCTGTCCGTTTAGGCCCCTGGGGAGGACTGCTCTAGGGGCAGGCCTCAGCTAGCCAGCTCATCAGCTTCAGGTTTGGGTGTTTCCCCTCAATCAGAGGAACTCGAAAAACTCTACTCCACAGGGCAATACACCGCTGGACTCAGTACTATAATCTTATGCCCTGGTCATGGAAAAGCAGAAAGCCCCTGTACATTAGTTCTTGCCAACCCACATTATCTTAAGCCCCGTTGCCATTTCATCAGTGCAAAATGATTTCTAATATCCCTTATGCTAATTAGCACACCCTAGAGTGCTCATCAGGGAGGGAGATAGTTGAACCCTCTCCAGAGGTGAACTCTCAATTACAGATTTTGAAATGCTAAACAGACGCCTCTGGGGAGCATATTCCCAAATAGGGCACTTCGGATATTAACTAACCACCCCCAGGATATAAATAACAGCTAACCCACACATGTCACCTGGTATGTAGTGAAGTATTTTAGCATTATGAACAGTATCTCAACACATTTAGGGCAAAACTGACACAACCGTGTCCATAATGCTTTTTATTTGTCCATGAATGTTTATCACATCTTGGTTTATTCCCATATTCCTGCTTATAGAAAAGTGAATTTGGAGCTTCTTAATAATCAGAAATAATAAGGATTTCCAAATTATCTTACAAAGAAATTAAAATATCAGACTATGTCTGTGATCAGGTATTGATGAACCAAAAATAGGAATAAACTTGCTGTCCAAGCATCGTTTATTCATAGACCCGTTTTCCTTATGGCCACGTCCCCAGGACCCAGTGGAGGATAGGGTAAATTAGGACAGAGAGCTGTTTAGGCCATGGCAATCAAGCAATGTCCTAGCCCATGGGTCAAACATTTTCTGTGAAAGGCCAGACAGTAAAGATTTAGGATTTGCGACTTTGCGGACCATATGGTCTCTGTCGCAACTACTCAGCTCTGTTGTTGTAATGCCAGAGAAGCCACAGACAGTACATAAACAAATGAGCATGTCTGTGGTCCAATGAAATTTTATTTACTGAAACATATGGAGGGCAAGATTTAGTCAGCAGGCTGTAGTTTCTCAACCTCCATCCTAAGTCAGTCCTGACTCAAGGTTTTCACAAAGATTTTATTAGCTTCCAAATAATAGCTTTTTAAGTACTTTCCCTCAATTCCACCTCCTCCCATGAATCTCAGCAACTACTCTTTTCTGCACAGTGGCCTTATATCATTCTTTACTGTTTCAACTAGGCATTGACCATACTCATTGACAAACCAGCTCCAACCTTGACTATCCTAAACTTAACATACCAGCCAAAAGGAAGTATGCATTTGTTTACTTGTAGACTTGTTTACAGGAGTGTTATCACAGAATTCAAGTATTTGTGTTTAAAAAGAGATATTCTAACTCAGTTAACTGAGAAGTGAAGGATCAAAAGAAAGATGATATGGGTCATTTTGAACCTCTTGCTGTAAAATAGCTCCTGAGTAGTGAATGGGGTAAAGGCATGTTCTGCTTGCTTTCATTTCAAATTACATTTTTATTTGAAATCTCCACATAAATATTTATATAAATCAACACACATATTTGCTGAACGTCCCACTCTGTTCAAGAAACCATATTAAGCACTATATAAAATATGAAAACCAAACAAGGCAGATCCTTGTCTTCATAGAATTTACACTATAATAAGAAAACACTCAAGCGACTCGAATCAACTATTGTAACTGTCCCAGATGAGATAGATGCAGAGCACGCTGGAAGTTCAGAGGAAGAAAACTTAATAGAAAATTGGGAGGAACAAAAAATGGATGAGGTGGTTGTTTTAACAGGACCTTAAATGTGTAGAACACAACATATTGAACCAAGAGCCATCTGAGGGTCTATTGTGGATGTCATACTTTGTACACATTCTTACATTGTCTCATTTAAGAATTTGGAAGGGAATAGTGGCAGATGAGCCTAGTGGGAATAGAGGATAGCATCCTTGGATGCCAGCTGAAGCATGTGGCTTCATCTCAGTAGGAAGCCCCTGAGATGGCTGAGCAGGAGAGTGATATAATTAGAGCAGTAAGGTAAAGGATGGGGAAGGGAAAGGGAGCGCAACAGTGGAGGGGTGAACCCGATATTGAAATCATCAACACGAGCCATAATGAGGACCTACTCTAGGGTGGTGGCAGGAAGAATAGAGGTAAAGAAAGAATATAGATTCTGAATAAAGAGCCTCTAGGATTTGGGCACTGGTTGAATGTAAGAGAAGAGGCAGGTGGCATGGCAGATAGCGCTCTGATATGGTTCCATATCAAAGTCAGACGTGGGTCCAAATATCAAATCTGCCCCCTAATAAAAGTGTGACCTCTGAGCCTCAGTTGCCTCATCTGTAGGTCACATCTAACTCACAGGAGATAGCATACGTAAAGAACCTGGATTTAATAGGCACTTAAATGATAGCTATTTGTATTGTATTATATATTCTTGAGAGAATGAAGGTTTAGTCAATGACAGCTCCGAGGTTTTTGGCCTGGGTTATTGCGAAAACTAGGTGCCATGAAATGAAACAAAAGTTAAGACGAAGGTCTAGTATTAATGGTAAGACAAAAGATTTCCTTTTGGACAGGAAGAGATGTCCATCTGGCCATTAGAACTACTAACCCAGAGGTAGAATTTTTTATAGCATTATTAAGATTAACGCTATGTATTGTATATGTTCTTAGTATATTAAGATATAATTCATATACCACAAAATTTACATACTACAGAATTCACTCTTTTAAAGTGTACAGTTCCGTGGTTTTTAGTATATTCACCGAGTTGTACAGCCGTTACTACCATCTAATTTTAGAACATTTTCATCGCCCACAAAAGAAATCTGTATCCATTAGCAGTCACTCCTCATTTGCCCTCCATTCAGCCCCTGGAAACCACTGATTTACTTCCTGTCTTTGTGGACTAGAGGTAGATATTTGAGATGCACAACATGAAAGTGGTGTGTAAAGCTGTGAGAAATGAATTGTGATTCACCAAATGAATTGTGAATGTTGCAAGAGAAAAGAAAGTAGCCAGACAAACTTGGGGAATGGCTATCTGAGGGGCTCAAAGGGGTTGGCATGTGCACGTGAGTTCTAAGTCTATACCACCAGGTGCCCAATATGTTAAATGGCTTCTCACACACCATAGTTTTAGCAGCAACCTGAGATTTGACCAATTGGTAAACACTGAGGTCAACAAAAATACCAATTGATTTGCCTGAGACTTGGCTTCATGAATAGTGAGAACACTGTGTCTTCATTTTAGCCTCAGAAAGGTTTCATCTCGAACTAGCCTTCTAGATCTGTGCTATCTGTGCCACTAGCTACATATGCTTATGTAAAATTAAATTTTAAATTATTTAAAATTAAATAAAATTTAAAATTTAGTTCCTCAGTTGCACTAGCCACATTTCATGTGTTAAGTAGCTCCATGTGGCTATTAACTACCACATCGGAGAGAGCAGGTGCAGAACATTTCATCTTCACAGAAAGTTCTATGAAACAGCGCTGTTCTACATGATATCTACACGATAAAGAGTTTTCTGCTTTGTAGGTTATTTTGTAATAGCCTCATTCTTCATTTGGCTTCTACCTCACTTCTTTCCTTTCTTTTTCATCCTTGAGTATCCGTTTCTAAACTATTGTCCAAACAGAGTCCAGACCTTCACCAGCTGGTTCCCAAAAAGCACACTTTATGTGTATGTATGTCTTTTTCTCAGTGTGAATCTCATATGACATTGCAAAGCTAATCCCAACTATTTTCTGATAAACTCTCAGGTATTTTTTATGCTTATTCTCATTATTGCTACAAATATAATTCATAAAATCATACTAAATAAATAATTTCACAGATACAGACAAGATTTCGAGTTAATGTATGCATACTCCTGCATACCAAGCAAAAGGTCCATGGACATTCAAAGATAGCACTGTAGGTTTGTATTAGTTTCCTGTTGCTGCTGTAACAACTTACAACAACCTGCATGGCTTATAACAATACAAATTTATTATTTTATAGTTCAAAATCAGTTCCATTGGACTGTATATACACTATGATATCACTTCTGTTATCAAAAATGTGTTCATGTGGTGAGAAAAGTGTTGATAGAGCTGATTCCTTCTGGAGCCTCAGAGGGGAGAATGGTGTCCTTGACTTTTTCAGCTTCTAGTGGCCACCTGTATTCCTTGACTTGTGGCTCTGTCCTCCATCTTCAGAATGCATCACTCCAATCTCTGCGTCTGTTATCACACCACCATTTCTTCTTTGTAGTCAAACCTATCTCTTTCTGATAAAGACACTTGTGATTTCATTTAGGGCCCACCCAGATAATCCAAGATAATCTCTCCATCTCAAGATCCTTTAATTGATCATATCTGCCAAGTCCCTTTTGCCATATAAGATGATATTCACAGGTTTCAGGGATTAGGACATGACTATCTTTGGGGGTCGTGATCCAGCCCATCCCTAGGTTACATAAAGTTTCTTATTGGTAGAAGAAAGTTGACCCCTACCAAGTTTAATTTAATACCCAGAATTTTGGATTAAAGTTTAACAATTCAGATTAAACAATAAAATGTTTGATTGTAATCATGTTGACAGATATTAAAATGTCGGACGATGCCGGTGATGCTGTAGCCACTGGAGACAAAGCAGAAACTACCGAGATGCCCAACAGTGACTCCTTACCCAAAGATGCAGAGGTACACTGTGATTCAGCTACGATTTCAAATGAGCCAACACTGACTGACGCAGGAGATGTGCATGAAAATGCAGCCATTCAAGGTGCAGAGAGTGCTGACTCTGGGCACGCTGAGCAGCCCAAAGACACCAGTGTCATGGAGACCCCCATCAACGGACAAGTGAGCGAGGAAGATGCGCTCGCTGAATGCATTGATGCCGTCAGCCTCGAGGCAGAACCTGGATCTGAAATATCCCTGAAAGAAGAAGATAATCCGGTAGGAGTGGTTCATTTGATTCAGTTCAACCTAAGTTCTTACTGCTACTGACCATGGGCACAGATTTGTGCCAGGCTCTGTGGCTGGGGATTGGGGTTTCAGAATACACTGTGACATCACTTCTATCATCAAAAATGTGTCGCATGGTGAGAAAAGGCATATATGAGAATAATTGTTCATTATAATATTTGCATTTTAATAACTGTATTAATAATAACATCCACCAATTACTGGACACCTTCTGTGTGCCAGGCGCTGGTCTAGCCACTTTATATGTTATGTAATTCACTCGTACAATAGCTCTTGAGGTTTCTAAGATGGATGTTATTAACCTCAATTTTTAGAAGAGACAACCAGGCTCAGAGATATTAAACAACCCAGTAAGATATTAAGTTTTTTAATAGTAAACAAAAGATACTATAACATTGAACATAATGAGTCCAAATTATTAATATGAGCCTGATTCCACCCTAAACAAGTCAGTGTTTCTTTAATATTACTTAAATTTTAATGCGTATTTACAAATCCACTATGGAGATCTTAGACATTCGATCACTGTTTTATCCTCAAACACTACCTCGTAGGGGATAGAGGCAGACCATGTTCCCCACCCCTTCCCTTCTGTGCCTGCACCTGTCTCTCTGCAGTAGAAGATGGGCCAGTGTCTCCCAGTTGGTACGTTGTACCACATCAATATGACCATCGAATTGGGTTTTCTTGGCATGTTCACCTCCATCCATGTGGGGACTGGTGGGGGTGGGGAAGCACTCAGCACGATAGGAGGAGGTGGGCTACTCTCTTCCAACCCTGCCTTCTAGAGTGATGGTACAGGATGAGGGAATCGGGGTCTTCCCTGAGCCAGGCCCTAGCCCTGCTCATTCTGACGTGTGCCACCACAGATCACCTCCTTGAAGGAACTCTATTGCATGTCGTGAGGGAAAGGAACTAAACTGAGTTCTGAGAGTTCACAGACCCTTTGAAGCCACCTTGGACTCCCTAAGGGATTAAGCACTCCAAGACCAGAGGTTCTCAACCCCAGCTGAACATTTCAAACACTGGAAGAGCTTTAAATAATACTGATGCCAGGGTCTGTATTTGACTGGATTCTCCAGAGAAACAGAACCAATAGGATATATATTTGTATCTCCTATACCTACAAATACCTATAACATCAACTACAGCAATACCTTGGTTTGCAAACATTATTTGTTCTGGAAACAAACTACTCGTATTGCAAGACATTGCTCATTTACCAAGTTAAAATGTATTAGAAATGTTTGCTCATCTTGCAGAACACTTGCAAACCAAGTTACTCACAATCCAAGGTTTTACTGTACCTGGAACCTGTTTTACTTCCACACTATCTTTCTATTATGGGGAGCATTGGTTCCCAATTTTTACTATAAATGCCACTGTTAATAAATATCTTTGTCTATTAAGAAAACTATATCACAGCCCCACCGTTCCAACCTGAGATGACTTAAAGAAACTACACAAACTCCACTAATTCAAAATCTATATGCTCCTGACGGCTAGATGACACTTTCCAATTTCAGCCTTCTGATAATTATAACAAGGTTGTTAATAAAGACACCAATACAAAGTCAGTATGCTCCTACATATCCGCCTTCTTAAAACTTTTGAGCAAATTCAATGGATTCTGATTTCGAAAGCACTTTATAAACGTCCCTACTGCTACAGGAATAGAGCTGGTAGGCAGACAGATATTCCCCTCCCTCTCTCTGTACCAACGGCACTGTTAGCTTTTAAGGACTTGGGAAAAGTGAGCATTTCCTTGTAATGAAGTATCACAAAAGTATCTGGATGGAAGTGCAAATATTGGCCACAGAGCTGGGACCATGGCTCTGGATATATGTATGCGTATGTGGCATTGCCTTAGGAGCTGAGATAGAACCAAGACATGGGAGGAGCACCTCTGAGTGTGTTTGTTCTAAGAAGGCAGAAAGCCGATATGCCTGGCTGGATGGGTTTTGAAGGGAAAGGATATCTCTTTCACCCAGGTCCTATTTAAACCCTTCTAAAGTAGGTGCAAATTTTATCTCCTTTTAAGCATTCTATTATGTCTCTTGGTAACCCATACTTTTAAGTTAATACTAGAAGAAGTCAATTTTGTGCCTCATCTTCAAGCGTTGTTCATTTGCTCTGTTTTATTTTCCCTTTGTTGGACACTTATAAGAAGTATTTTTGCAGTGATGAAAACAATTCTTTTTCTGTTGATCCAGAAAAGAATGAATTCTATAAAAAAATCTTGAATCAAAAGTTCATTTACATGTTGGCTGTTTGGATCTTGAACACTGGTTCACTAAGGAATGACAGGTCCTATAGGAAAACAGCCAAGCTCAAAAACCTATTTGATCCTAGGTATATCTGAGCCTAAAAGCACCTCATCAGCCCTTTAGAAAAACTTCTATGGGAAAATGCCTGCTTAAAAAACAAAAAAAACAAAAAAACCCTGGTAAAATAGCCTTTGAGGAAATATTAAACCAGTATCTTTTAGGACACAGTAGATTTTGTGATAATTTGCTTAAATGTGTATCTTTTTCCATAAGTAGTAGAATCTGCATAGTTACTTTGGGTTTGGGTTCCCTTAAAATCCACACTATTAATGTCCCCTTTGCTTGAGTCAGCATGGCGGTCGTAAGTTCGTAGTGAGAATGGTGTGAACAGGAGCGGGCTAGAGAAGAAGAAGAGGCCAGTGGTCGGACCAGCTACTCAGGGGGCACATCTGCTTTGAATGATCACACCATTCATAGCTGATGCACTCAGACAGCTTATTCATCTTTGGTGCGCCTTCTCTTTTTCATTTATTCTGATGTACAAGCTGGAAGCCATTGAGTTGAGGCTTCCTCCAGGAATCTACTCTACGATATCCATGGGAGACGGTCCCCAGCCTCACTTGAACATTGGACTTTGGACTAGATTCTCTAAGGCCTTTACCAGCCCCATGACACCATGTTTATGCCCAGCAAGCTGAGAGGTGCAATTGTCTTCAGGATACCTACAGCCTCGTTGGAAAAGGCAGTGTTATATAAAATCAATTATAGCATGTCCTAGAGTACTAGATAGGATAGCCAAAACGAGGCACAATGGAAACCTTAGATGGAACACTCAAATCAATCTTAAGGAGTCAGAGAAGTCTTCACCATCAATTCAGAGATGGTTGTCTTGGGTGCTAGTCAGGAGTGACATTTATTCCCAGAGATCTTGTGGGACCTTATTATATACTAGTTCACCAGCCCCTAAAAGCTCCAATCTAGATCAATTTCCCTAAATTCTTAACACCATGAAATGTTACCCAGGGTAAAAAAAATGTTATCCCTACTGCCCAACACCAGTGCATAAGGTCAATTATAAAGGTAAAGAATTCCAATGCTACCACTAAAAGTACTCTACAAGGAAAACAAAGGCTACCACTGGATAGTTCTCTCCCTAGAAAAGGAAAAGCAGACTATTTCAGTCATAAAATTGTTGTTGAGGGAGTCGAAAAAGAGAGATCATAGGCCAAGACACGCTGATAACAGATTTTTGCCTTTTCAATGACTGAGTATAGTTTGCTCCAATTCTGTTTGAGTATTTCCCATTTTAAGCTTGGACAACTAGGTGGATGCTGGTGCTGTTTGGCCATATAGGACAGTGCTTCCTATTGGGCCGTTGGGAAAGTCATGACACATTTTTGCATTGAAAAACATAGAAAAATACATCATGACTTTCCCGACGACCCAATAAATCCAGTGATGTATTGGGAGCCCCTGGGAAGTTCGTTAAAAATTCAGATTCCTGGACTCTACTCTGAGAGAGCCTTATTCAACAGATCACAGTGGAAACCAAACAGATCACAGTTGCAGTCAGTCTGTGGACCAGTGTTTGGGAACTACTAATACTAGGACACAGAAAGAGCTCGTTGGGGTATTGAGTGAGATTGAGAAGATGGCAAGTTCAGTATTGAACATGCCATGGCACATGTAAGTGAAGATATTTTGTAGACAATTGGTTATAACGGTCTGGAGTCTGGGAGAGAGAGAAAGATTTGGAAGCCATCAGTTCTTGTATATTATGTAAGTAATGGGAGTGGGTCAGATTGGCCAGGTGCTATATAAAAATAAAGAAGAACAGAGGTCAAGGACGTGGCCCTGGAAGGCTCCTGTCTCTCAGCCAATTTAGTCATGCACAGCTCATAGGTACTTTTGGATAGGTTGTGGTAGCCAACAAAGAAGTTAAGATAGTGAGAATTACGTCTTCTCCCCACAATCTCACCATCACATTCTATAAGTGAAATCAAATCTCAAATCACATACCATACTGACATTTTAAAATTCAACATTAGTTAACAAGAAAGTTAAAAACAGGTCATGAGAACTGTTTTTCATGTAGGCTTGAGAGCGTCCCATTGTTTTGTCCTCAGATCCTTTAACCACTAGCCTGAGTGAAAGGTTCACTCAGGGAAAATGCCTAGAATTCTAGAAGCAGGGTTTCTTCCCTTATAGTTAGTATCAAGAAACCAGAATTCACCAGAGTTCAGATGACCATTCAGCATAGGGTAACATTCTTTCTTATAACCTATTCATGTGAAGGTAGGAAGAGGCTATAAAATATATTTAACCATTTAGAAATCTCAAATGCCTTTAATTTCACCACCTAGAACCCCTTTCAGATATTCAGAATGCTAGCTAATAGTACACCATGTTTACCAGTTAAAATCCATTTCTGCAATTCAGTATGCTAATTAGCAAAGCATCAGGTGTTAATAGAGATTCAGATAATAGAAGAGCTCATTATAGCTGCCTCTGGAGTATGGCTTCCCTGATTAGGATGCTAGCTGCTACCCTGGACTGTGCATATTTTATTGGAATGCTGGCAGCGCTTGGATTGTAACTTAATTTAAGGAGCCCCCATAATATCACAATATGCATGTAGAAACTTTCTAAAATGAACTGAAATCCTAATACGAAAGGATGGACAAAAGCAGTAAGAGTCAGAAGATAGGGCCTGGGGGCATGAGAGTAGAATATTTTAAGAATGAAAAAATGGTTAAGCTTCAATGCTACTGAGCGATCTAGAAATAAAATGAGTCGGTGGTTTTGACAATAGGAAGTTGTTGTCACCTTGATGAGAATGGTTTCATGAAGTAGTGGCCATGGGGGAGTTACTATGGTGGGTGGAGGAGTGAAGGGGGTGTGGGGGTTGGATACAGAAGGTAGGCACCTTTTCTAAGAGGTGAAGAAGAATGCTGTGGAGCAGAAAACAGATTAAATTTGAAACAAACCTTTTAGTCTAGTGATGTTCATTTGTTGGTTTTAAGATGGAGGAATCATGTGCATAATTAAATGTGGGAAGTAGCCAGTAGAGAAGGTTGAAAAGTCAAGAGAGAAGGGAGAACAACCTACCCAGGTCCAGAGGAGTTCAGGTGAAGGTGATAATGGTAACGCAGAGGAAGGCATCACTTCCATAATGAGAGAAGGGAAGGAAGGAATTGTGAGTGCGGGTGCTGTAAAGTTTAACTTGTGTTTCGATAGGTTTTCGGTGTAGGCCAGTGTGGTTTGTGCATAGAAAGGGCTATTCGGACTTTTAATTTGGGTTAAACAATTAGTGTTCATTTATTAAGGTTACAGACTCAAAATTTCAATTCTTCCTAGGCATTACATTCATCTCATAAATCTTTATTTAGAAATCGAGCAGAATTGAACATTCACCCTTCAAGCAGTTTTTGAGTAATGATCAGTTCTTTTTACCAACTTAAACACTTTCAAATATTTTAAAACTGTATCTATAAATTCATTATATTCTATTTCCTTTTTTAGTGCCTCATTTATCTACCTAAACAAAACCTTGCTGAGTACTTAAGGATTGTTACAAATCTATGAAATTAAATTCACAGAGTGGACCTAAAGACCTCTTAGATGTTACAATATTATGCATAATCTTAGGAAGATTTCAACTAAACCAGAATTCTGATAATTCAGTCATTTTAAATTAATTTTCTAAAATCGATGTTCTAATCAGTCAAATTCTTTAAACTTTAGTAGTACAGAAAAGACCAAATATGCACAAAAATATGAATAGCTTGACTTTGATGCCTTAAACCATTCTATGTTAAATTTTAAGTCTTCCTAGATTTGAATGATCCATAGTCACCAAGGAAGAACATTATCTGGAAATTACTGAGGCTTCATATTTTCAAGCAAATATTTTGAGACAGCTGTAGGCATCCTGAGCAATTCACATCTTCTCAAGTGTCACACTGTGCCATTTTTTGGAGCACCTATGTCATGAGTTAGGAAATTTAAAAAGGGTTGGTGTCACAGCTCTCATTGCTTACATCCTTAGACACATGTTATACATGGTACCTGATTCTTGATCTACTCAGGGAAATAGGAAAACCAGGTTGATCTTTAATCCTTAAAACAGACACATATATTTTTCATCTATATGACAAAGAACTTTGAATTCTATGGAATTATAAGATTTGTACATTTACCCCTATCTAATGATACCATTGAACTTGATAGTCTAAAAGAAATAAATGTACTTCCTTTTTAAAGACCTTCAAATGAGATACTGGATATATAAATGTCTTTTCTATTTAAAGAACTTTAAACTTGATGAAATCTTGCATTGTTTCATATTCTTAGGACCACTCAATGGTTATAGATGTTTAAATGATCTCCATTTGGGTTTTGGATATCCCTCTTGATCAAGCCAAGTCTGATTTGCTGTTACAAGATGAAGTCATTCTTCTGAGCGCTTATGGGGAGTGGGCAGGGAGTTAAGCGAGTTCTCAACTGATGACTTCTGTTCTCTCTGTGAAATATTGTAGTAAATGAAGCTGTCTGATAAAGGAAGTAGGGGTTAAATGACATGAAGGTGAGAAAAAAGCTTTAAAATAACGATATTTGCTAATGAGGGAGCTGAGTCGATCTATTCTCCCTACTTTATAATCTCATAAGTGTGTGACATTAAAGCCATTTAAAGTGGAGACAACACTCATGATGAGATATATTTATAATTCATGTTGAACATTGAGTTTGTATGGTTTTTATATTAAATGTGCATATGTAGTCATTTGAGTACTTGCCCCTGATGAATACTCTTGGTAGCTGATCAGGAGGTCACAGCTCAATGTCAAAGGAGCTTCATAAATAAAGCGATTGAAGTTGTCATTTATTATACTGAAAAAAGTTCTAGATTCATTTCACACTTATTTCCATTTGCTAGTCAATTACCAACTGTCAGAGCATATTAAGTATTGTAAATTTGAGTCAGAAGCTGTCACCCTTAAGTGTATTAACTCTCCCTAATCACAGAGGTAGTGATTTGTTTGATAAAAGAATATTAATCACCAACTTACATCTGTCTTCATGATGGCATAAAATTGCCACTGGCTGCCATTGCTCCAGTGAAGTAAATCAATGTAGACACCAAAAATGGAAGCTGACAGTCATGAAACACGAGTATTTCCATTCATGTTAACAGGCTTCTCGTTGTTACCAACAGAAAAAAAAAAAATGTCAGCAAACTTTCAAAGGTTTTTGCTTCTTAGTGTTAAAAATGTAGTTTCTTCTTATTATTACTAGTTAACATTTATGAAGTATTTATTAAGTGTCAGGCACTCTGCTCACAGCTTTATATGAATTCTTTCTTTTAATCTTCACAGTATCCCACTGAGGCGATTGGTTCTTATACTGTGGTTCTTATATTACCATACCTTCCATTCTGTAAAGAGTAAATGATGGCTTAAAAGATTGAGTCACTTGTTGCCCCAAATGGCAGAGCCTGGAGTCAAACTCTAAGCAATTTAATCCCATAACCTTTTCTCTTGACCAGTATTCTGCACTGATGAATGGTGTTGGATATTTACTAGGTAAATCCATTAGGAATGCATTTGGGTACAAGCAACTAAAATCCAATATATAGTAGCTTATGAAATAGTAATTTATTTTTTTTCTCACTTAACAGAAAAAATGGAGATAGGCAGCTACGCACATTGGTTTAGTAGCTCAGCAGTAGCTCAGGGACTCTGAGATTCCCTGGCCTTTCTCATATGGCAGCAAAAATGGCTGCTTCAGTATCAAGCATTATGTCCACATTCAGGGCAGGAAAAAGGGAGGGGGAGAGAGCCGGCACCAGCTGTAATTGTATAATTTATCATGAAAGCAAAACTGTCCTGGTTATATCTCATTAGTTCAAAACTGTTTCACGTGTCCACTCTTATCTGCAGGAGTGGCAGACAGTAGGGAGAAGAGAGTTGGGAATGACTGATGGACCAGCCTTGGCACTCTTCTAGGCTCTGGGGATACATCAGTGGAAAGGGAGACAGACAGGGAGACAGACAGATAGACGGACAGGCAGATACACATTATACAGGAATCTCATGGAACCCAAAGATAGGAATGCAGCAGAGCCTTGAAGAAGAGCAGGAACCAGGGGCGGGGTTTCAGGAATTAAAACAACTTCTCTGAATATATCTCCTTCATTCTGCCCACTCTTTCTCTTCATTCCTAGTCTGCACGGTGGATAGAATATGGTTACTCTACATTGCCTGCGTTTTCATACACTATTCAAGCAGCCAGCTTGTGCTGAACCAGAGTTTCTCAGTCCCAAGTCAAATATTTAAGCAAAAGAATTTGAATCCACTAAGCAAGCCCACAGAGAGGGAGAAGTATGGTTTCAGGGGTCATTTGGAGTGGAGTGGACACCATGAAAGGTACTGCGACCCATCTCCAGACTTACTGATGCTTTTTCTAGACACTTTGCCTATCAGCTGTGGCAAAACTCCTTCCTACCTCCCTAGAAATGTAAAAGTTAACTCTACCTGGAACAGCACATTTGTTAAGTTCTGTAAAAATTGCATGAGTCGAAATTGAATTTTTCAAATCACTCTTGTGCCCGAATATAGTCAGCATTTCCCTCCCGCAGCCCTGTCCGTCTTCCAGATAATGGGAGATTTGGGTCTTGCTTAACATCAAACCCCCTTCTCACTTCCAGCCAAGCCCTCAGAAGCCAACACCACTACTAATCAATTTGGTTCCAAAGCACATCTTGCAACGTGGGTTGATACATGCTTTTATGGCGTTTATAAAGTATAAGCCAGCGAGACATGGTTGTTGGTGATTTAAAAAAAAAATAAAAAATATATATATATATATATATATATATATATATATATATATATATATATATATATATATATATATCCTTCTCTTTGTTTCAAACCAATGCATGTTTTTCTATTCGGGGATAAACTGAATTTCTGACCTTGTGGCTAATCTGTTTTTCCACAGGCTGTGGATTCTCCTCCACGTGGAGGGGGATGGGCAGGCTGGGGCTCCTGGGGCAAATCTCTGCTCTCATCTGCATCGGCCACTGTAGGTAAGCATCCTGCCTTGCATTTGAATGGATCAAGTTCAGACACCTAATAGGGTACAATAGTTTGATCATACCATATGCTGATAGAGTTTAAGATTTTCTGTTCTTCCTGTTCTGAGTGCTTCATATATATTAATATTAATACATTTACTCCTCAAAATAACCCTATAAGGAGGTACCCTTATTTTCTCTATTTTTAGAGATAAGGAAGCTGAATCACAGAGAAGCTAAGACCATGCCCAAAGTCAGGAGTGTCTGGGTTGAGATTTGAATCAAGTACTATGGCTTTTTATATAAAAGCTGCTATATTATATTGCCTCTTAAAATATAAGATTTGGGCTCTTTAAATATATTCTTAAACCTTTGTGCTTATCATCCCACTTGAATGTTTTAAAATGTACAACTAACTCCCTAAAGGGATTTGAGATATCTATAAAAAGCACTTCATCAGCAGGACATTGAAATACAAATAGAAAAAATACACGCAGATAGGAAGGAGATATATATAATATATATCGATATATCCTAAGGCTAATAGAGTTATTATAATTGCACATTGACCTTAACTCTGAGCTTCTTGGCTGCCAGTATTTCTCACTGAATGATAAAATAAAACTTAGTTTACCTGAATAAATTTATTATTTTCCTGGTATTAAATTTTTTTTTTTAAGATTTTTATTGGAGAATTGGGGGGATAGGAACAGTACTGGGGAATTGGGGGAAGGGGAACAGACAAGTTGCTGTCGTTTTGTTCTTCAGTCTAGTTGTGGAGGGTGTTGCTTCACTGGCCCAAGTTGGCACCATCATTGCGCTCTTCCCGGGCGAGGCAGATCAGTTGCCAGCTTCTGGACGGCCGCTCACTGCGGCTGCTGGCTGGCCGCTCATGCTAGCTGCTGGCTACATATGGTAGCCCATGGCAACCCACTGCCACAGGGGCTGCAGCCTACGCCGTCGCCAGCGACTCCAGCAGCCCAGCTCCAGGTTGAGCTGTTGTTCAGCATCTTAGCTGTGGAGGGCAGTGTCACTGGCCCTCATATGTGGGATCCGAACCGGGGCCCTCTGGCATCCCAAGCCAGTTCTTAACCATCGTGCCACTCAGCCGGCCCCCTGGTATTAAATTTTCGAAGCAATTTCTTCTATTGGCTCTTATACAAAGAGAATGTAATGAACAATGCCTTCATCAGTGCAGTTTTGTTACAATATTCTTTATGCAACTATTTCTTATATCCACTTTTTATGAAAACTGAGGGTAAAACATCAACATGCCTAAGATGAATTTAATAAATGCATTTCATCTTGAAGGTACAGAGTGAGGAGCAGGACAGGGGAAGCCACAAGTAACATAGCTCAGGTGTTCTCAAGGTATAGTTCATGGCCATGAGCATCTTGTGATGGGCCATCATTGGTCCAATCTGTTGTTACCTCTGAAACCAGGAAGGATAGGAAGGCTTGAAGGTCTTTTGCCACACTCCATGGACAACGGTCACAAATAATTGAAGGACCATATATCTAATTTGATGAAATTTGTTTTATGTGCCTGGAATGGATAGATTACATTCCCCTAATTCCATGTCTGTCAGATATCATGAGAGCTCTGGCAGGAAGTAGATAGTGGTCAAATAAATGTTGACCCCTCTGGGGTGAGAGCCTGGCGAGCAGATTTTCCCTATTGCTAACTGAAGGAGCCAGGTGTGCTGTGGAAACTACATAGGGAGAGGGCACAATTAACCAAAGTAAAGGAGAGGCACTGGTGTTGTTGTCTGAACAGGACACAAATGCACGTGAGAACAGGCTCCTGCGGGCAGCCCGCTTCCTAGGAAAAATGGTTGAGCCTTGAGTGGCTATTAAATGGATCTTGCCACTGGTAGCACTTAGGAGTGACATGCTTTCTGAACCAAAAACTAAAAGTGTGGCGTCTAAACGTTTCTGAAATTGGGATAAGTCATGGAAAAGTAAATAATAGGACCACTGAATTATCTAGCTGATTTAGGTCATAAAACAGTAAAGTGTTCTGGGTGCTTCCAGCTATAAGGGTGTCCAGAACTGCGCTGGTTTGTAATAAATTCGGTGCTACAGAATGTTGTATTATAGACAAAGGATTTGCTTTCATGTTAAAAATTTAAATGTAAGTTCCTTCCACAGTAAACACAGAAATCCACTGCCCCGTGGGTAGCAGTTCCAGGTGTGTTTTGTGCACACTCTCAGGTGTGCCTGCTTGTAACTGCTCTGCCCCTGGTTGGTCTGTTTGCTATTGCGCCTCATCTGTCAGTGGCTACACCTCATCATTTGACTTCGGGCTTTGCTGGACTCTTACAGGGTTTTCCATCTGCCAACTGACAGCTCGCCCATTGAATGTACTCTCTAGCATCTTAAGTGTGCTTTGCACTTGTAAAGCCTAGTGCAGCCTTGGTCCAAGGGGACTGTGCTGCAAGGTCTCTGGGCTCTGTTACCTAGTTCAAGTATAACCAGTAGATGGCGCTGGCTTTACTGCTTAAAAAGCAGGGTGTTATTTCACCCTATGCTGGTAGACACTCATCTTTTAACTTGATTGGAAGTCAGTGTCTTAACCTGTAGCCTGTGCTTGTGTTTGGTGTTGGTTGTGAAGTGTCCTTGTGTCTAAGGTACCATGAAGATGATAAATATTGCATCTTGTTAATGTTGCAAACACTTAAATGTTCTGGTGGTTCTCACCTGGCTCCATACGGTAATTGATCCAGAAGAGCCTAGAGAGAGAACTGCCCGTGGACCAGCATGATCACTGCACCAGTCACTGTTGCCACTTCCCCTCTTATGGGTGGTGGAGATATGGTTTCTCTGAGATTCAATGACATTTGCACATTGGCCCATAAAATATCAGAATGATGTTCAGTATACCCTCTTATATTCACTTCTATTGCGGTGTAACAAATTACCACAAATTTAGAGACTGAAAACAACACATACTAATTATCTCAGTTTCTGTGGGTCAGGAGTTCAGGTACAGGATAGCTGGGTCCTCAGCTCAGTGTCTTACCAGGCTGCAATGAATGTGTCAGCCAGCTGCACTCTCATCGATGTTCACAGTCATCTTTCAAGGTTATTTAGGGTCTTGGCAGAATTTAGTTCCTTGTAATTGTAGGGCTGATATCCCCATTCTCTTGCTAATTGTTGACCAGTTGTCAGTCAGCTCCCTGAGGCTACCCTCAGGTCCTTCTTCAGCACAGCAGGATAATCTCCTCCATGCTTCAAATCTCTCCTTTTAGGAAGGGCCCAGTCCCTTTTATTTTATTTATTTATTTTTTAAATTTTTAAAAAAGATTTTATTGGGGAATTGGGGGAAGGGGAACAGACAAGTTGATGTCATTTTGTTCTTCAGTCTAGTTGTGGAGGATGTCGCTTCACTGGCCCATGTTGGTATTGTTATTGCGCTCTTCCCAGGTGAAGCAGATCGGTTGCCGGCCTCTGGACGGCCGCTCACGGTGGTTCTTGGCAGCTCACACCAGCTGCTGGTCGTTCACACTGGCTGCCGGCTATACATAGTAGCTCATGGCAGCCTGCTGCAGCCTACTCCGATGCCGGTGACTCACAGCAGCCCAGCTCCAGGTCGAGCTGTTCACCATCTTCGCTGTAGAGGGCAGTGTCACTGGCCCTCATGTGGGATCTGAACCAGGGCCCTGCTGCTTAGAGCTGGCGTCCCAAGTCAGCTCTTAACCAACGCGCCACTTGGCCGGCCTGGGCCTAGTCCCTTTTAAAGGCTCACCTGAGTAGCTCAGGCTCATGGAGAATGATCTCTCTTTTGATTAACTCAAATCCAACTGATTAAGGATCTTAATTACAATGGAAAAACCCCTTCATCTTTGCCATATAACATAGCCTAATCATGGGAGCGAAACCCCATCATATTCACAGTCCTACCCACACCCTAAGGGGTATGAGCTTACACTGGGTGTGTATACCAGGAGGGGAAATTGGGGGGACCATTTCTCAATACTGCCTACCCCACTCCCCTTTTCTGTTTCAAATCCTCATTAGTTACACTACCAATTCCAGAAACTTAGCATCTTTTCATGGCTCTGGTTACATGTTGAAATTTTGAAAAGCATTGAATCTTGGCATTTTTTCTCTTGTTTACACCAACAATGGTCAATGGGCACATGAGGGAAATCAAAGAAATTTTGAAATGTTAATGCTCACCCTAAGAATCCCTTTAGACAAATTGGAGCTATCTTTAGAAAAGTAGAGACTAAATTTGTTCCTCACCACTAGTCATCACAACCCCAATGAATGCAATAGCAACATAATGGAATACCACCCCTATGTGGCTCCTAAGGCATATTTTGGAGATTTCTGGTCCAGACATGCTGTGAATTTACATTGTAATTGTAGCTAAAATAATAGTAATGGACACTTTAAAACTAGATAAGTATCTTAGTGGAACTGATAGAGAACTAAAACTTGTAGCATACGGAGAAACTAAAGAAAGTCATGGGTTCCAAGACTGGGAGCTGGAAACGGTTGGGAGTTTGACTCCCAGAAGACAATACGGATTGCCAAGTGTCCCACAAATGGAGAGGTGCCATCACTGGGCACACAGGCTGCAAAAGGGTTAGAATAGGGTTCATCCATCTGTGAACAGAGGCTTTAAAAAGTTATGGGCAATGTCTTGAATTGTGGTCTATATTGAGCTGCTGCTACCTTGGGATTGAGAGATGCAAGTTGGGCACACTTTCCATTACATAGAGGCATAATATCCACCCAGGGCTTTGCAGCATTAATAGTTTATTATCACAAGGCTAATAAACTTATTGGAAAACAGAACACTCAGAGCAGTAGATAAGCTCTTGAAGGTTTACAAATTGACTGTAGGAAGTAAAGAAAGAAAATAACCATGTATTGCTTTGCAATTGATTTCCACTCAGAAACCTCATGTTACCCCTAGGGTAATTCCAATTGCAGACGGGAGCACAAAACACAGTCTGTAACAAAACACAGAGCTGTCAATTGAGTACTAGAAACAGAAACCA